CCATCATCACGAAAAAGAGCAGTTTCAAGTAAACAATTCTAAAAGGGGCAGAAACTCGTTTTTGTATACCCGTATCTCATTTTAAAGGCAAACACATTCTCCAGTTTCTAATGTTTCCTACGAGGTCTAGGGAAATAAAATCCTTATGTAGTGTATCAATCCTAAATGCATTTAATTCTAAATTATCAACAAGAAAATGTGATGAGCATTAAAATAATAGAAATGTATCTCCAAATGTACCCAGCCAAATTTTGCCGGTGACAGATTAAAATTTAAAGTGGGTTTCCAATATTTTCAGATTAAAAATGCATTAGTGCAAGTCTATATTTAGCCTTACCGTAAACTAAACCAACACTCAGACCCCCTCCCAATACTAAACAAGTCAATGGGGAGTCAGGCTTCTCTCAGTCTTGCCAATGAGCATCCTGCCAAATGAAAAAGAATCTCCAAGGACATTCTGAAGCATAAACCTGCAGTTGACTTTGTGACTGGAATTCACATTACCTATGTGGCCTGGAAAAGCCTAAGCTAAAAACAGTTTAAAGTGGTTGGTGCTTTACTCTCTTGCCCTTTCCTCCCTGTGGATGTGCATCTGTGTGCATGCACTAAGGGATGAATGGACACAAACAGAGAGATGGATGGGTATGCAGATAAATAATATATATCACGAATAGTTTACTTATAATATCAAATCTATACTTTGCCAAGTTTCCAAATCCAGTGACCATTTAAAGAAAATGCTGAAGACCATGGAGCACAGTATATGACCCTATGGGGGGAAGCCATCACTAATAAAGATTGGTATCTTTAAAAAATTATTTTCTAAAAATGGCTGGGAAATATCCCCCGTGTAATGTGCTGTTGTCTTTGTTTTTAACATGGCTTTACCATTCTACATTCAAAGATGGATTCCCTCTATATCCCCATAGGAGTGACCATGACTTCTTTAGTCAGGAAGCAAAGCTGACAGCTGCAGGTATAACCAGGAATTTTTTTGTTTTGTTTTTTGTTGTTTGTTTGTTTTTTCTATCTTGCATGTCTTAACTCATGGAAATCAGTTGCCATGGAACAAGTATAAATACCATGCTGTGAGAAGTTCAAGCCCTATAGAAAAGCCCTGGAGGCTAAGAAGCGATGGGGTGGGGTAGTATGCGAGACTATATATATAGTGTGCAATAGTGCATGAGCACGCTGCATGGAGGAAAATGGACACAGAGGAAGCAGACAACTCATGAGAAAACAAGGCATTGAACATATAAGTCACATACACGAGTGAAGAAGCAACCACGGACAACCAGCACCACTGAGATTTTAGGTGACACCACCCAATACTATTTAGCTTCAATTGCAAAAGAGACATCAGCAAGAACTTTCCTACAGAACCAGGAAATCAATGGAATAAAAACTAATAACAGTCCATTTCTGTTGTTGCATTAAAAGCCACACTAAGGTGTTCAATAGCTTGTCAATGACAAAGTGATGTTATAGAAAGAACAACAAACAACCTTATTGTTCTGAAAAAAACTAAAAGGAAAGAAAAACAGAGGATCAGAGGGTGGGGGAATCTATAGACTAAAAGTTTATAAATGTTTTAAAATGACAAGTGTGCAAATGGCATTTGGATCCAGATTTAAACAAATAATCTATATCATTAAAGTTTATTATATTGGGCTGGCAACACGCTTCTCATACAAGAATGAGGACCTGAGTTGAATTCCTAGAACCCACATGAAGAAGGCATGATGGAATTCAGGCTCAGTATTGTGGAGGCAGACAGCTGATCCCGGGGCATGTTAACTAGCCAGTCTACCCTTGCTGGGTGAGTTTAGGCAAACAACAGGCCCTGTCTCAAAAAACAAGGTGGGCACAATGTAGCCGAGGTTGCCCTCTGGCTTGCATGAGCACCTTCACGCAGATGAGGAGCCCATGCATTCACACACAACAACTTCTAGTTTGCTATCTTTATAAAACCTTTGGAAATAATATTTACTGAAAACTCAGAGGATAGTGATTTTGTTAGTATTTTCAGCCTTACAAACAGTAGCTACGTTCTGAAGAGATCTTCCCTTCGGAAATTCAACCATATATTATTTATGGGAATGCAGCAAGCCGCCCAGACTTCCTTTAAAGCAACATACAGAGAAGAATATGGAGCCCAAGTGACACAGTAGTGGCCACAAATTGATAATAAAGGAATATCTGGGATTACTCTATCACTGTATTTACTTTTTATGTGTCTGAAACTTTCAATAGTAATAAATAGATTTTTCTAAGGATAAGCAAAAATGATTTTCTCCTGTTAGTAACATGATCAAATGCCTCCCTAAAGCAAATAAAAGCTCCTCTAGAATAAAATAAATTCTTTACTTGACTTTTGAAGTCAAGGCTGACATCTAACTTGCCGCATGGCTGAGGATAACTGTTATGTATTTTACACTATAAAAATTAATGCTATTAATCAAATGATTGTATGTAGTGGGTATCAGAGATTAGAACCCGTCTGTATTTACATGTGATCTCTGCAAAGATGTCTTAAGGACATTAATAAAAATTAATACAGTCAAGCTAATAAACAACTATTTCACTTGTTTCTAGTCAACTAGTGTTGTTATAAAATTCAGTTGTAAAGTTTTTCATACAACAATATTTTAATAATTTTTAAATGTTCCCTATGGGAAACAACCATATAAAGAAACATGCCATCCCCTTGCTTCTGCCCCCAACCTTTGACAAATGAATTGCTTGGGCAGAGAAGAATTTAATGAACTTTGGTAATATCTGATTTTACAAACAAGTTTTGAGGATCTGGAGAGATGACTCAGTGGTTAAGAGCTTCTCATCCTCCTCTTCCAGCAGACCCAAGGTTCAGTTCCCAGAACCCTATCAAGTGGCCCAAAACTGCCTGTAATTTCAACTCTAGGGAATCCAGTGCTCTCTTTTGAGCTTGACAGGCACCCACACACATGTGATATACACTCTCACAGGCACACATATATAAATATAAATCAAAACAAGATGGCAAGAAAGACTTGTCTTCCACTGTGTTCCTTTTAGAATTAACAGATTAGGATAGGAGACTCAGAATTGGACACTGTAAAGCATTCACTAAAAGCCTGACAAATGGGTTGCAGTTCTGCTATAGAAGCAAGGCATACAGACGTTAGCAGTTAAACAACAGTCTTCAAATGGAAAATGTGGCACCTTATCTATTCATGGTGTACAATACATATACAGTTATGTTAATGGGAGTTTCCAACTGAATATTCCACTGTTCCCCCACTGATAATTCAAAATCAGTACAGAATTTTATATCAGTGACCACCTCAAGATTGCGTTCTATAAAATTCTGCTTTCTGACCTCCAGCATTCATTGAGAATACACCAGTAATTCTCATGCTTCCGTATTTTCCTTCCATTGAAATACAGGCCAGTCTTCCTTCTACCCTTCCACCTCTCTGAATACCCCAGGAAATCATTGCATCCCGTATCACTAATCTTCCTTAGGACTTCAGCAACTGTGCAGGAAGATTTCCTCGTGGTGACCCTCTGTGCCAAGGAAGTCAACAACCGCACAGGCTAGGCTTTCACCGAGAGTCCTTACCTCCACCTTCCCAGACCACTTCAGGAATGACTCACATACTGTGGAGTTCATCACTGCTTTCTTTCCCCTGAAACCTTCAAAATGGAAACAGCTCCTCTTCACCGAAGTCCTCAGTTCTCTTCTATTCCCAGTTTTATGAGTTATGAGATTTACTTCTCCCTCACCCTCATCTGTAGTTCTAAGTAAATGGTTTATCATCTCTCTGGTTTATGTATCTGCTTGGTGTGTTTCTATACTCAAATGCTCTTATTCTCTCTGGATTTTCCCTTCGGCCAATCCTTTGCTAAATTCATTCTGCGCAATGTACTTTCCTGCCTCTGGGTATGATTCTAATACATTTTCAGGTTTCTCTTATATTAAAAAGATTCTGAAAAGGTAATGAGTTAATATATAATATGAAGTGCTTAGAAAATAACCTGATTCATGGTCAGTAACCATTACATTTTAATCCTTTTTACTTTTATTATTCCTCTCTCATCCTCTACATGGTATTTTTGAAATTATTTGTGACCTAAAGTGACCTAAAATATCATCAAATATGGATAAAATTTATCTAATATAGTAACAATTTATGCAGCTCTCTTGAAAGATATCCTATACCACTGAAACATTCTTTGGGCCTATGACAATGTCAGTCAACTAATGTTTGCAAACTTAAAATATAAGAATAAAAACTTCTTTATGATCTTTAGATTCTAAGACAATCCTTAAGATTTATGATCTTTAAGATTCTAAGATGAATCTTTTAAGGAAAGGGAGTGGGGTATGAAGACTTACCAACAGCTTGTAACTGCACATCTGAAAAATCTTTAACAATAAATCTTTGCTCATTCTCCAGCACTAAGACTTATGTGATTAAAGAGATCAACTACTTTGATCTGACCTGGTCACTATAGACTGTCTACATATTTCAAATCGTCACATTAGACCCACAAACAGAGGCAATCAACTTTTTAGTGTGTACAGTAGTGGGAAAGGAAGCTAGGGCCTTGCAATGTAATAAGCACTCTATTTACCTAGCTACCCACTTCCTAGTCCCTATAAAGTTCTTGGAAAGGAAAAAGATGCTGAGTTTATTTAACAGAGAGCAGGAGCCTTAATTAAATCTTTGATTACCACGTCTTCAGGAAGGTGGTTACCACTCCCAAATCAGAAGTGGGACAACTGTTGCATACACCCTTTCTTCGATCGTGACAGAAATACAAGTTGAAACGTATTCCTCATATTGAAGAGAGTGTGTCCTGAGCTGCGGCACCAAGGACCTTGTCAACAAATGGATCTTTGATGAGTTCTCATTATCGGAGAACTCTCAATAAAGCCCAGTTGGTTTTGAATCAGGAGGTATCATCAAGAATGAAGAAAACAGCAGAAGGCAGAGATCCCCATTCACGATGCTTACCTTGAGCTTATGTTCTTTCCTGTTCACAATGACAGCTGTGATTTGCTGGTCCATGAAAATCAGAATGGTGACTAACAGAGCCGGGATAGCAGCGGCAAGGCACACCCACCAGGGGTTTCCTCCAAATGGCGGGACAAACCAGCCCCTGTTAGGACTTGTTGGCTGAAAGCAAAGAGAAACTTTTTCAGAACAACGTTCATATATGCCACATGGCTAAAAAATATTAAGGGTTTGGAGGGTCAACATATTAAAAAGTAGAAACAGCTATAATCTGGAGGAAAAGATTATTTAACAGAAATCTTCCCAAAAGGTGTTATTTTGGAGACGATCGCTAAAGGAAAGAAAATGAAAAAGATGGGCTATTGAGAAAGCAGAGGCTGACATTTTGAATACATTAAACTAGTTGAGATATGGCATCAGATGGAAAACACAAAATTCTAACACTAAGGGACACAGAAGAAAACCCCAAATGTAATATCCTATGAAAAGGTAATAAAACTACAAAGCCACCACAAATTCTGTTTGAATTTTAGCACTGAACAGAAGTTGTTTCTACTTTTGCCAAAAATTGGCTTCATAATATATAAGACTATTTACATGGTATAACTGAACTAATTGAAACATTTGGAACTCTTATTTTACAAGTGAAAATTATCTAGAAGTGATTAAATCCCCAGAACTGTTTCAGAAAATGAGAAAAAGATTGCCATTTTTCTACTTTCATTAGATCACATATGCCTGTTAACAGAGAGAAAAAGTTGTTATTTCCTACTTTAAGAAAAGCATATAAATATAAATATAACACTACTTATAAATTTGTTTCTCCTTTCTTTCTTTTTCTTTCTTCCTTCCTTTCTCCCCCCCCCCCGCCCCCTTTTGACACAGGGTCTTATTCTACAGTCTAGGCTGGCCAGGAACTGCCTATGTAATACAGACTGGCCTTAAACTTACAGAAATTCTCCTGCCTCAGTCTCCTGAGTGCCAGGCTTACAGGCATAAACACAAACCCTGAATGTATGTTCCCTCTCCTCTTACTCAAAACTCCACCATCAAAACAAAACCCATCTTCACGCTACCTGTACCACACATTGTGAGCTTGTAGGACAAGACATTAAGACATTTCATCTTGCTTATTAAAGCATTTGACCCCCCCACCCCAGGATGGAGTCTGGCTCCAAGCAAACATTTAGAAAACACCGGAGTAAATGCATTACTTATTATATTAACTAGAATTTATGTTTGCTAGTGAATATGATATTATGCCAAAGATATTCTCTACTGTTATGTATGTGTGTACATGTGCATATCCCTTTCTCATTAGCTAGTTATATAAAACTGCCATCAGCTTAATAATGTTTGACATTATTATATCAGTAGTGGAGAACAGACTAAGGATTGTTCTAGAAAATAGGTTATAATTTTACAATGGAAAACTAGGTAGAAATATAACTATGAACAACTGACATGTAAATTTTATATATTATACACATATATACATCATGTATGCATACACACACACACAGTAAATCCAGAAAATACATAATTCTTCTGTCCTCTTTGTAACAAACTTCATAAGTGTTCCTGGCAGGTAGGAGGAAAAGACCTTCAAGTTAGAATATGAAGGTTTGAATTCTACCTTCACAGCTTCCCCCCAATACTTAAGTGTGATGGTCGCTTTTCTTAGTGTTTGTGAGCATGTGGTTTATAAAACAGAAGTATGTACTTTTCAGAACTGCTATATGAATCAGGTCAATTGGTTCTAAAAGAGTATCTGAAATATACTACAACATATAAGGCAGAATTAGTTCATGCTATATGCTATTTTAAAATAAAATTCAGTAATGTACAAAGTCTGAATTTGATCCTAACTGTGGCATTTAATTTTAGCGAAGAAACTAGACTAACTATAAATGAGCCTAAAAAGGATTACTCTGAAGGGAAAAAGGCTAATTATGCAAAACTAACTGAAGTCAATTCACAATAAACTACATTAGGGGAAAAGAGAAAAAGCCAAAGGGTTTGAGGAAGAAGCAAAAGAGAGACATTCACTTACCTTGAACTCGCTTGGCACAATTAGTTTTGGAGTGTCCACACCTACTAGGGCATCTATTACACAGAATATGAGAATAGACAAGATAATGGCAAAATCACTGATCAGTTTTCTTGCCTGGAAAAATAAAAAAAAAAAAGAATTATTTAGTACTAGATAAACATGGCAGTTCATATGTTTGAAGGGAAAAAGAATTTGATATTTACTAACAATTTGTCAACAAATTATCCAATGGCCAGACACAGAAGATATCACTCAATCAGGATATATCCTTTGTCCTACGTACAGCATGAGAGACATTTGTATAAGAATAAAAGCTAGGCAAATATTCCACAATGAACTAGAACTCAATTTATCTGGAAAGCAGTGATATAAGTAATAAATAAAACAATAGTGTCTTAGTCACTCTTCTATTGCTGAGAAGAGACACCATGATGAAGGCAACTATTGTAAAAGAAGGCATTTACTTGGGGTTTGCTTATAGTTTCAGAGGCTAGTCCACCTGTTTTTTGGTACCAACTGCACAAGACAATTTCGAATGGTGCACATTTTTGACAACACTCTGGCCGGGCCTTCTCAAAGCGCTCAGGGACTAGTTATAATTTTCTTAGGTCAAAGGTTAATTTGGGAATTTTACCATCATTTGCTTTCACAGGAGCCCCTAAGAGAACATCGCCCCCATGTCAGCTTGAAGCAATCTTAGAGGACGGCGTCCCCTCTCCCAACAGAGTTTGCCCTCAGGGTTAGGGACATCTTTTAGTCGTTGGTTTGGGGTTGAGGGAATGGGGAAATGTTTTATGGAATTAGGGGTATGTTCGAAAAAAAAAAAGGGGGGATTAACTGGTTTGATGGGATGATTGGTATTTGTGAGTTACTGTTTTTAGAAAATTGTATTGGTACTGTTTCCTGTATATTGACATATTGAATATTGAATGTGAGTGTTCCTACCTCTATTTTTGTATAAGAGTATGCTTATATTGTATTGATACATCTACCATATCACAATGTACATTTCTACCTCTGATACTATTTATGTAATAACATTGTTTACATTTGATATGTAATGACATTGTTTACAGATGAAGATCATTGTCTCCATATATTGCACAGTTGTTTATTGTCTTAGTCTTTAAGTTAGATAGATATTGAGAATTATATAGATTAATAGTCATCTAAGTTTGTCATTTATAATTAGACTAATCAGGTTCTTTATATATAGAGAGATTATACTCCGTATAGATAGATAATCTTCAACCTCTTTGAAGAGCTGTAGAATATGGCCTTTAATCTAACTCAGAGTTTTGTGGTAGTGAGACACAATTGCTCCTGGCAACACCGCTCTATTCCCGAGAGAACGTTGAGCACCAAAGACACTCCACCTGGAGCCTTTCTTTTTGGCAGAACTGGCCTTGGGGCAAAGAAATGCCCATACCTCAACAACTGACAGAGATACAGAGCGTGCATCAATAAATAAAACAGGACTGTCATATCCTGCCAAGACAGGGTAAGATAGTTTTGAAAAGTTGCTTGCCTTTGAAAATGGTATGTCAGTTATGTTAGGCCTTAGCCAAAGTTGGTTGACTCAACATTGCAAACGAGACTTTGGGTGATTGCTCAGGTAGTCAGTTGTCTTTGTCAATTGTTACACATTTGGATCGTTTGTTAAGTAATATTTATTGCCTTCTCGGATCTTTGATGGAGTTGAAGATTATATAATTGTAGTTACTCTCTACATTATTTAGACTCCTTGAGATAGAATGTTTAGCAAAACTTTTGATTCTCAATATTGTTTGTTATATTTATTTGTTATTATTGTATATAGTTGTATTTGGTTTAGTTCTGTCTTATTTAGACAAAAGGGGGAGATGTAGGGATAAGTCCCACCCCTTAGGGGGTGTGTTCGCCTCAGGCTAAAGTTCTCCTATAAAATTGGTGAGCGTGCTCCCAGCGCTCTCTTCTGCTTTCCTGGTCTCCGCGGGAACAGTGGTTCTGTAAGTCTATTCCTCCATTAAAGCTGTCTATATTTTGACAATCTGTCTGCATTCGCTTACGCCGTTACACTGTAGCACACAGGCAAGCGTGGTTGTAGAGACGTATCTGAGAGATCTAGATGCTGATTTGTAGGCAGAAATAAAGAGATTGGGCCTGGCATGGGCTTTTAGAACCTCAAAGCCCACCTTCAGTTACATGCTTCCTCCAATAACAACAAGGCCACACCTTCTAGTCCTTAGACTCCTTTTAAATAGTTCCTTTCCTGGTGACTAAGTATTCAAATATATGAACCTATGGGGTACACTATTATTCAAACCACCACAAATAGATATCCCATTAAGTAACCTGAGAATGGTACAAATCTATCAGGAGATTACAAGTTCTAACTCATGATCACAATCAGTTATTACAATTCACAGTAAACTCCAAAGATGGTATATAGGAACTGAAGGCTGCATAGGCTTTGTCTAAGAAAGCATTTTTTTTTTTTTGGACTATTGCTGGAACATTTTTTGATGTGAGAAATGTCTTCACTGCTTGCTGTGGGACAATGGTTTTACCGTGCAAAGATTTGTTTCTTGCACTTGTTTAATAAAACGTTGATTGGCCAGTAGCTAGGCAAGAAGTATAGGCAGGGCGACCATGCAGGAAGTAGAGATGGGGAGACGAGAAGAGGAGAATTCTGCTAAGAGGAAAGGTCAGTCTGCAGCCATCACCCAGATACAGAGGAAGCAAGATGTGACTGCATTGCTGAGAAAGGTACCAAGCCAAGTGGCTAACACAGACAAGAATTATGGGCTAATATAAGTTATAAAGGTTAATAAGAAGCCTGAGCTACTAGGCCAACCAGTTTATATTTAATGTAGACCTCTGTGTGTTTCTTTGGGACAGAATGGCTGCAGGACCAGGCGGGACAGAAACCTCTGTCAACAATTGCAAAAGTGTGATCACCATTATTTGGTTATCCAATGTCCTGAGTGTCTCCTCTAGCCAATACAAGGACTGAGCATTAAGCCCCGTGCTTTTCCATGAAGAGGTGCAAAATGACTACTTACAAGTCATTAAGAGGAGCACAGGACCCTTTGGTTGTACTAGGGTATCTCTGTAGTTACTAGAGGCACTACTAGGGGCCTAACAGCTTAACTAGAACAGACAACAGAGTTTCTCATCGGCAATCACACAGTTACATGTCTCATTAACTGTTCATTTAGAATTACTCAGTTCTTAATATTTTACTTGGTGATAAGAACATCTTAGTGAGTAAAATGGACATAATCCATGTCTTCTTGAATCCCCAAGCCATGTTATAGCCAACAAAGCTTGCTCCTATGTAGATACATTAGGGTTGACTTCAACATCAAGTTGAACAAGACAAATGGTCCATTTTCTGATGCTGCTGCATGACACAGATGAACTGAGGAAGCACATGATTCTTAAGACCATGGGCTCCAGGAATTGAAACTGTCTCCCCGTGTTCAGGAGGAGCTGAAGTAAGGATCTCTGTGTGTTCAATGGGGGGGCTGAAGCAAGGAATGGAAATTACATGACAATGCAGCATGTTTGAAAGAGCTCAGGGCTTAGTTCTTTATCAGGTATTAGGGGGTTACGGAACTAACTAGCAGTGGGACCAAAGATGCTTCTTCTGGCTGGGAATTCTTCATCAGACGCTGCTAGCTTTAGTTTGCTCAATAAGTACCACACCATGAAAGAAAAGCACTTGCTATTAGGTATGAGTTCACCTCAATTACACACAATAATGTCAAAAGCAGGCAGATGACAGAAATTAAATACGGGAAACACAGGTTAAGAGTTATGATCCCAGTTGCTATAGGTAGACAAGATGGATGGGGCTCTCAGTATCATTATTCACAATATAAAATACACAGCCTTATTGGTTTTAATTGCATCATCTGCAAAAGGGAGTCAGAATAATACTACCAACTTCACATTGGTTTTCTTTATCAGAACTAAATATGATTAACCATGAGAGAACTCAACATAATCTCTGAATAAATTATTATTATTTTATGCACTACAAAGCTTCTTGACTCCAAGGACACTCAAAAAATTAGATTATCTACTGCCAAGAAGTCTCTGAGATGGATCTTTAATTCTAAGAAACAAAGAATTCAAAATCCAGAAATCATATGGAACTGCTACACAGAAACTACTTTGACTGCAAATACCTAGGATTTGGTGTTTCCCAGGGCCACAATACTGGATAAAACTCATCAGTTCAGCTTTATGCAAGTAGTGTTGACAACAGCAGTTTGGGAGAGTCTAGTCCTAGGTTGGTACTAGGAAGCAATTTCAGTAATATGATAGGATGTTACAATCACCTCTTTGTTCCAGGAGGCCACAAATCCCTATAAACGTAAGTCCAGAGTTCACTCAAGTCCAGTAGTTCTTACTAATATTTATTATTTCCCAAAACCCCTCCCACAATAATCTAACCAAACAACTCAAATATCTATACATTATTCAAAGAGATGGGAATGGTTATTTTAAAACAGTTTACTCCTTTTTTTTTGTAATAGAGAAGGGATGCTAATGAAATTACTCTGCAATTATATGGTCCAAGTTCCCATAGGATCTCCACGTCCATCTGTGAGAGCCTGCTGCACTGCGGTCACTACTGGCACCTGGGAGAGGAGGGACAGTATCCTGGGTCTTTTGGAAGTTGACTACCCCACCAACCCAGCATGGCAAACTGGATGTCATCACTGAGTTTACTTGTGGAGTTTCTAACTTGGCCCTTGTTATGCTCTGGAACTCAAATGTCTCTCATAGGCTAATGTATTTTTCACCTGGTTTTCAGCTGATAGTACTGTTTGGGAAGATGTGAGGCCTGTCCAACAGGGGTGGAACTCCGTGAAAAACCTTTGGAGGTGATAACTTGGTCCTGATTCTGGTTAGTCACCATTTGGGAAGGCACAATTGCATGGTCCTGCAGCCAGAGACATAAATAACCCAGCAATCATGCCTTCCCAATTGTGGGTGATTGTATCCCTGAACCATGGCAGAAGAAACCCTTCCTCTATCAGGTTCAAAAAAAGTATGAGCAATACGGGTCTTTATACTCAGGAGACATCAAGGCACAAGACAGAAACTACCATGAGAGAACA